ACGGAGAAACTACGGAGCAACTTCTCATTGAGAGTTGTCTAAAAATGTCCTGGAACCATAGATATCTCATATCTGGAACACGGAGTCACGGATACTCTCTGACTGCTCATTAGCATTCTATTGTCTTATAATCCTCCAGCCTGCTTTGGGCGCTTAAAAAATATAAAACCTGTCAGACCGGTTTAGGATTCCTCTTTCTCGTGCGCCTGTTTCTCATGGGCTGTGGCCACAGAATAAAGCAGAAATTGACAATTTAAAGAATAAATACGGTGAGTTTTTCTTTTATACCCAATTGTGCTTCAACAGTGTGTTATTCTTACCGTTTACGCAGTTTTGTAGTGAACTGATTCGCTTGCTTTCGTCCGTTATATCTACGGGCCTACGGCGTATAGCCAGAGTATATATTTACATGTTGATATGACTTTATATTTGCACGTATTAAAGGATTGCCAAACATTTGATTTGTTTTATTGTTCAAACATTTGTCAGTGCAGAGAAAGTAATTTCTTTGTTCTTATGCACAAAGGCGAAGCCACTGAAGAAAAACATTAATTCGCAAATTAGATATATTTACAGCACAGTAATTAATAATTGTTAAAAATTGGAATAATTGCCTTTGTAATTTTGCTGAATCAGCCATTTGAATTGACTAAAAACTTGCCCTCTTTATTTGTTGGTAATTAGGATTATAACAGTGATTAAGTGACGATTCACAGCCTGGAGAAAATTGACTATACTAATGAACTATTGTGGACATGCTGTTGTTATTAAAATAGTGTGTCATTTCTATTTCGGGCATGTAAAGAGGGCCCCCTATACCTCTTCACAATATGCTTTCACGTAAAAATATTTTGCCTTTTCACGAGTCACGGATTAAGAAAATCATCAATCACGTTTCACGGCTAAGTAAAATAAGCCCTTCACGCTTCACACAAAAAGTATAGGGGGCCCGATCATGTTTCACGGCTAAGTAAAATAAGCCCTTCACGCAAAAAGTATAGGGGTCCCTCTGTAAAACGTGGACTGCACTGGACTCGGGAAACATGGACTGAGTCAACGTTTTCCAAAGAGCCGACTGGTCCACAATTTGTAAACTACAGACTCAATCTTTCTTTTCTGAGTCCAGTTTCGGTGCACTTTGGGAGTTAAATGTTAAGTTTGGAATTTTAGTCTAATTTGAAAAAGCATTTCAACCACATCAATCCGAAAAGTTAGTGATTGCTGGCTTTGCTTCTTGTATCTGTGAGTTGTCTCATTGAGACCTTTGATTTTTCAGCTATTGCGAGTCAGTGATTTACTTCAGCTGGTTACAGACGAGCAAGTTCTATGAGAAGTTTTCATAGATGTGGTTTATTAATTTGCCAATTGCGTACGTACAACAAATTTTCTATGACAAGTTCATGGTTTTCTGACTGCCGCAATAGTTATTATTGGCTATTAGGACAACAGGTCACTGACTGACCGCATATAAAAATATGTGCTAAAAATAAAATAATGCACATAATAAATATAATAAATATAATAATTAATATAATAATAATTATATTAATTATAATTAATATTATTATATAATAATTAATATAATTATATTAATATTATTAATATAATTATATTAGCACATAATAAATATAATTATGTGCTCAAAATATTTTGCCAAATTTTCATCTGTTTCATCTGATGAACAAAATTTGCATGTAATTGCCAATTTTTTCTATGGCAAGTGCACTTGTTCAAAAGCTAGCACACTAGCTACAAGTAGCAAAGTTGCAAATACAGATGAGCAAATAAAACTTTTCATATGAAAATTTGCTTGTCTGCAACTGTCCAGTTTGGTCTGTCATTCCTTGTCCAGTAACCCCAAATCCTATTTCCCAGTCCAAATAAATGCAAATCCCAGTTCCCATTTTACCCCTTCGGGGCCCTCTTTTTAGATGTGAATGGACAAGTAGAACAGTGAGCTAGATTTTTGGAAGTTGAGACTTGAGAGTGATCACCATGTTTGTCGACATCCATTTCTTGAGGTAGCAGTCTGGATATTTTCTATGCAGGCTATAATATAGTTATTTTCTTTGTGTCCACTTTCATAATACGATCATGAATTGAAAATCTCTGTCAAATTTACCTATAAGGTGTTCTCCCTTAATGTAAGGTCCATCCCCACATCCAGTGTTAGTACAGGAAGAAACCTGAACTGAACTCACTTTATCAACACTAGACAGTTTTATCAGATATCTTAAATTGTTCTACCTAGCTGTATAGAGATCCAGGGAGATCCATGGCCATGACTGTTGGTTTTTGAAAAAAAACCAAACTTAACCCTTCTATTTATACTACATGGTTCTAACAGTTAGGACTGTTATAGAACATTAGAGGCCACTCCTTTATTGATCCACTGTTATTAAAAGAGAAAACCAGAGTAGTTACTCGGAGAAGACTCAGAAGACGTCTGGTTTTTGGAAGTAGTTATTATAGTACTCTTCATGTCACAATAAGGACATCTCATGTAATCAAATTTAATAGAGAAAAAGAATTTTCCAGGTTTACTTTGTCTCACACTTTCATCAAACTATATACATTGATTACTGTAACAAAGTTTCTGTCATCACAGTAGGAATTTTGCATAGGTAAATTCTAAGTTTTGAAGGATTTGTAAGAAATGTTTGAGGGACCTGACTCAGTGTTATTAAAAACACACTTTTTATCAAAGAAACTTTGACAGTGTATAATAGTCTTACACTACACAAAGCTTTGAATTTTACATCAAACATTAAATTTAATTTATTGCAATTATACACATCAATGGTAATAAAACAATTAACGTTATATTTACATATATCATAACCGTTTATTTGGCGTATGCTTTACTAGAAACCATTTGGCTTTTCAGTCAACTGGACTCGCCGTAAAATATTTCAATGGTGTAACTTCACTATTTTTACCACTTGCGATTAGGGCAAGTTAGACATGAAAATTGGTTGCCCGGAATAAAATTCACTTGCCAAAATTTGAAGCAAATAAATAATAATTGCAGTAAGGATTGATTAATCAACATTCTAATCTTATGTTTTCCTTAAAAATTCATTTGAATATTTGATCTGCATGAATTGTCGATTTCAGCTGATTTGCTAATAAAGAATCAAAAACAGAATGCCTAACATAAACACGCAAACAATTTTGTGTGGCAAATAATTTCTGCGGAACAACTTCTAATTGCACCGTAATGATTTTTATACTTGCCCTGGGCAAGCGTGCAAGCGCTAAGTTACATCACTGATATTTGCATTATACTTTATTGCAGTACTTGTATTTAAATTCGCGCGATGCAAGTTTTCGCTTATTGTCAACACATCCGATATGATTTCGCGTACCTTATAAAGGCGATATTTTGGCGCAAACAAACTAGACGATGGGTTTTCCGTGTTGAAGTGATATTTGGACACTTAAAATTTTCACCTGAACCGACAAATCCTACGAGAAGCAACTTACAGTTTCTCGATGTACATGTACATAACAATCTAATGGCTAATAATTAGTACACATAATTTGCTTGTCTAAGTTTCAGTATTTTGTGTTACGCTGCCAAACGTTTACACGTAGATTAATTTTCTGCATGTAAACTGTAGTAAACTGTTTCGCTCGGATAAATTTTTCGATGAGTTTTAATCAGTTCGCGCAACTACGGTTTGGGCGAATTCCAATACTGCGCAAATTTAAATACAAGCAAATTTAAATACAATTTGAATACAAACGTAATTCAAAGTTCTTAACGAATTGAACATTTCCATATATTATATGAATTGCTGGAAAAGCTCGATAACAGTCAATAAAAATATATTGTGAAAAATTGGTGTTGCAAAGCCTGAAATAACGGTCGAAATTGTCCGGGAAAGTCCGACAAAATGGAAATTATTGGAAACTTTCAAATTTGGTTAGATATTTGGACGCAATTCTGGACAAGGCTGAAAAAAAGTATGAAAATATAGATGAATTTTAACACAAATAATATTTCCATCTATATACCAGCATTCTTAATAATCCTAACCGATTGCAAATTGGAATTTTAAACTAAATTGTTTGACAAATGTACAACATAGACTAGTTTTAACACCCGTTGACGTCAGCGATAATATCTTTTAAAAACTCCGTAACTCAAAGAGAAATCATTGTATCGACTGAATTCACAAATTCACTCGTAATACTAATAGCGATCTAGACTACTTGTGAGACATATATAGAGCCTTGTACAGTAACTTTAGTAGTTTATAGATTTTAGAATTTGTCAAGTGATCGGTTTAACATCTATATTTCAGGCTCTGCATTAGAAATAGAAAAACTATGGAAGTATTTATGCGATATCATATTTACATTAGTTTTCTGATAATATCGAACAATTTATTTATTTTCAATCGTAGTTAGTTGGAAAAAGTATATTTTCCTACATGATCCGTTAACTCAAACTTCTAATTTACAATTCTAAAACTAAATACAACCATGTTTTCAGTTCATACTGCCCTTAATGCAATGACTCAAACCAGGGGCGTAGGAAGCGTAAGGTTGGAGGCTAGCCCCCCTTCACTTGTTGAACAAGGTGTGGGGGTGGGGGAATAGGTTTTGGCCTGCCAAAACATATCTGAATTTACCGTTTACTTGGTTTATTTGAAGTATTTGAAACAGTCAACTATAGTCATTTTATTATAAAATCGTACTATTCAACATTGAAATTTTATTACGTTTTATGTTGCATTTCCGAGTAAAGAATGTTGTGAAACTGTACAATTAACTGTAATCCAGTATTATACTTTTTTTGCCTGCCTGCTGCTTCGCTAAACAGCACGCAAAAATGGCTGCATGAAATTGCCATTGCAGAGGGACAAGATTTTAAAGTTTTTTCCATGAGGTGAGCAAAACGTTGTAGACTCCCGCTAGTTGGGTGGTCACTTTGGTCGCGCCCACAATGAGTTTCCTACACCCCAGACTCAAACTCCTAATTTACAACTCTAAATACAATGTTCCGAGTTCATATTTTCCTACGTCTATATAACCAACTATTCAAATTTACTTTTGATTAACATTGAAATTTTATTACGTTTTATGTTGCATTTCCGAGTAAAGAATGTTGTGAAACTGTACAATTAACTGTAATCCAGTATTATACTTTTTTTGCCTGCCTGCTGCTTCGCTAAACAGCACGCAAAAATGGCTGCATGAAATTGCCATTGCAGAGGGACAAGATTTTAAAGTTTTTTCCATGAGGTGAGCAAAACGTTGTAGACTCCCGCTAGTTGGGTGGTCACTTTGGTCGCGCCCACAATGAGTTTCCTACACCCCAGACTCAAACTCCTAATTTACAACTCTAAATACAATGTTCCGAGTTCATATTTTCCTACGTCTATATAACCAACTATTCAAATTTACTTTTGATTAAC